ACATAAAAAAGTTATTAAATATTTTTTGTCTACAACTGTAATTAAATTGCAACGCAAAGAATATTATATTTCTCATTCGATCTACTATTTTAGTTCGTTCTGTCTTTTATGTATAAATTCATATTATCGTACCGACGTTCGCTAAAGATATTCGCCTCTCATTAGAAATGTACATAATTAATGAAGCGGATTACTGACGAATAATATAACAAATCGATAAGCTCTTACTCTGCGCAGTCCCCGACGAGCTAGGGTCAAGATAGAATTAGTATTCTTCCATAAATCCTCTCTCAAAACTCTTTGAGAATAATTTATCTTGCTTCAGGTATTCCAGGGGAATAAATACCCTTTCTTTCATGCTTAAGATATACAACTGGCTACGTTTGTAACTCATGCTCGTTACGTCAATTAGAAAGAATCAGGACTTTTCTCTTTTGCGAACTTTATTGCACCAAGCAGTCTTTGTTCGGTTAAAATAGTTTTTATTCAATTTGCTTTTCTGATTTCTTACAACAGTATTCTTTTTTCAGACATACGATGTTTAACTCTTAGAACTCTGGCAACTCATCATTTCGCCTCTTTTATATAGTCACAAATCTTTTTTTTTTTTTCTTTTTTTACGAGTAAAAATAGTTGGAAGTTAAGCCTTCCATCATTTCTTCTATTCTGGATGTTATTTTGAAATAGTCTGAAACAGTTTCTTCGGAGTATGTTTAATGTCTGTTTTTACGTTAAATAATTAATTTCACTTTCATCCACGTCACTTTCATCAATCTATTTTCAAAAATTGTAATAATATATTTTTCTATTTTGAGTGGAAAAATTTTTCAAAATTCTTATAATAAACGCGTTATTAATTATCATTAAATAAACTAATAATTTTAATTCCATAAAGATCACGAGACTTTCTAAACTCGTACTTTGTAACTTATTGTTAGTTGAACTGGATAACGTTTTTTGTGTAAGTGACTTTTATATCTACATTCTCTACACGTTGTGGCTTCTCTTCAGTCCCGAAATATTCACAACTGAATATTTATGAAGTAATGGACAGATGAACGGGGGAAAAAATTCCATCGAGCTTCCGCTCGGAACGTATTAATTACTATTCGACGAAAAACAGGAGCGTCCGGTAACACGAACATTTGGCACGACTCGCGTTCCACCGTTATTTGCTAACCAGCAAAAAACTGCACACCAGCAGCGACGCGCTGCAACAACGTTGTTGCATAAATCGCGATTAACCTTCGCGAGAATCCTCGCCCGCATGCGACAATCCGCATCTTGCAAGTGCAGGACCACTCCTGTGTCTGTTTTACGATCATGATAGTCGCGAACATCGTCCGGATATTGTATCGAAATCTAATATGTGCAATGTTATGGTAATATCAAATTTTGACGGCAAACTTGAATATCAATTATATCGTGTATCTATAAAAAATATATTTTTGCGAATTATATGAAATTATGTAGGAAAAAAATAGATTTAAACTTTTGATGTTAAAGTTCGCTATAGAAGCTGTTGAGAAAAAGAAGATTATAAGTAAAGCAATGGTATTGTTTATTATATAAATTCTGTATGATTAGAGATTGGGCAAAATAGTCATGGAGGAATAATATCGATCTATCATAATCTTTTGAACGAAACAGGGAATAATATATTTTGCTGGTTTATTAATGATCAACTTAAACCTGACTAATCGCTCAAGAATAACCTGTTGCTGATGTAACAATCTGTATGATCACAAATGAATTCTTCCATTACGTATATTGCTCTACTTCACGGAGTGCGTCCTTGTAAAACGGACACACGAACAAGTCGGCGATTCATTTTCGAGAGTAGTATTGATCCTGCTGTTACAAAACAAACTGGATCAATTATTTCTGTTCCGTTTTCAATAATTCAACGACGTTAGGCTGAAGCACAGGCAAGCATACAAGCAACAATTGCGGCATGTTATGTCCATTTTTTAAATATTTTATGTTTACTTCATCCAATTTAATCCTAAATGGTCCTAAATGTAAAAAAGAGGTACATGTAATTTTTATAAATTATAATTTTATAATTTAATAAATTTTTATAAATTATATGTAATAAACTAATAGCTTTCCGAGATTTCAAATCAATGAATAAATTTGTAATTAACACAGTTGGCACTGAAATCCATCGTACTTAGAGATAATACTTTTTCAATCATTTCAATGTATTAATTCAATTCAATCAATATTTTTAACTGGGAATATACAGTTGTAATCAGATGTTAAGCAACAAGTGATAAATCACGAAAATCTGATATAATGATATATTTTTATTTTCTTAGATATTTCATTCAAAACTATTTCTGAAACGAAGTCTCTTATTTTTTTACAATCCCCTTGCGGCTAACAGTATAATTATTTTTTGTAAGTACTTATTCCGCTGGCACCACTTTGTCGGTTGCCGATCGAAAACAGTCGAAGAAAAGAAGAATCGTAAAGCCAAAAAAAAACCTAGTGGAAGTAGATAAAATTGACAGACACTACTCTCCGCGCTCGCTGTCCGTATAATTCGATTCCCTTGATACACGAAATCGGACGATCTTGGCGCGGGCGAAACTTTCTTTCGAGCCCGTTTCCCATTCGGCTAAATGGAGTGTCGTGGTTACAAATTGCAAAACTTTATCTATTATATCTTATGCATAGACTGTTTCTGAATCACATAAAAAAAGCTTTCTGCCCATATCTCTCTTGAAGTAAATATTTTCTTAATCAAATCTTTATTTTAATAACTTATAATTAAAATTTTGATATTTATTTAGAATTAAGATGGAAAAAATTAAATGTAAGAAAAACACTTATTACATGAGTTATTATAATATTTATTATGATATTGAAGTATTATTTGATTTTTATTCAAATTAAATTTTTATGTGTAATACTTTTTACGAAAAATTTATTTTAACTCAATATTTTAAATTTGATGTATTTGTCAGAAAAAGAATAGAATAAGTATCGACATAAGAATAGAATAAATATCGAATAAATATCGATTTTTTAAATAATCTCGAGCATTCTTCAAAGGTTTTCGTGGAACATTCCAAATTCAGCGATCGATTGAGAATAGACGCCTCCTTACATTGTGCAAATTCAGCTAATTCAGCAAATTCATTAAGATTTTTTTCGAATAAAAATGAATCTGTGAAGTTAGCTGAATCAGTCACTATATAACTGATTAGAAAATGATCTCGACTTGAGTTAGAGTTTCTTACCAATTAAAGTTCTATTATTATTATTTATATTTTTAATTTTTTTTTGTTTTTAAACCCTGTGTAAAATATTATGGCAAATATATCTGAAAAATTTTAAACATGAAGTTTTTCTAACAGGACGTTATATATTTCAAATAAAGATGATATCAACACTTCGTATGGAGTAACAAATTTATTTGTAAAAATTTTATTTCGCACCTCCGTTCGCGCTGACTCTCATTAGCCCAGATTTAGTTTGTTTTTTATTATTTTAAGGACGTTATATATTTTAAAGAAATGAAAAATAAAAACATATATCTGTTTTTTTTATTAAATTAGGATTAATTAACAAATTGAAAAAACAATTTTTCTTGACAAAACTAAAAAATATATTAACTCTAATTATGACTAAAAGTATTTTCTTAAAAGATATCTTATTTTAAATAAAATGTTAGTCGAATCTAAGTTTAAATGTTAATCAGATCTATTTTAAAGTGAACTATTCATATCACAATTAGGGTCATATGTATCATTTCTATAAGAAACGTTATCACAAATAGATAATATAGGTCAATATCCTCACTCTGTTCAGATTGAATATGATTTTACAAACGCGATAATTTCGACGTTATTGTGTGTATTGATGCATTTGACGCATTATACGAGAGTGAGGATGAAACGATGGAAAATTCTTGCTATGAATTATTGCATTACCATGTGCCTTGATTGTCATTCACTCATCTATTCTCTATCTCTCTCTTTCTCTCTCTGTCGCACGAGAAGAGTCACCGGGATGCATATGGGGCATCTGTCGCAAAAGTCTCGACTAATGTATTTAATTGAAGCTGGAGCCGCCACATTATATACCTTCGTCCACCATCATTAACGAGTTTCATGAAATCCCACTGAGCCATCGCCCACTATCAGATGCACTCATCTAAATAAGTCTGCACACTTTGTGAAGTTTTAGTGATCCGTGAATACGCTGTGCATCTTAAAAAAAAAACTTTAAATTTTTGTTAAAATACATTAAAGTAAGTAAATTCATGAAATTAAGAAAATATTGTAATTATTTTTAATGTTTATGAGTAGTATAAAGATACATATGCTAAATTTATAATTATATTTTTATATTGCATCAGTGTTAAATTTGACCATCTAATTTTGAGATTTGTTTAATACAGATTAACAATTAGATGAAATTTAGTTATAAATAGACAAGAGCGATTTTTAATAAATAATTTATATTAAAGAGATAATAAAGCGTTGTTTTTATTTCTTTTAAAAATTTTCTAATTAAAGTATTGATTTAATTATTTAATTATTAATGCACTGTTATGTCATATATCATTTACTGACAATCTTTTACTTATTTTATTAACTCTTATACCAACACCTTATCATACCTTAAACACCTTGTAATTGTTATACTTTAGTGAGCTTGTCAGATTATTAAATATTTTAAAACTATAATAATTAAATGAAATGGAAATTATATAAATGTAGATAAGTTTAATCTGTTTCCGAATTTAACAATTTATAAATCATAACTAGTTTACTGATAAATTTCAGATTGCGTTTTCATTTACCCAAGAAGGTATCGTTAAATAATGTTCAGAGGTAGAATTGATCTGCAGGTGATTGTTTTTTGTAGAATCATGATACGGTTTAGGATATCGTTATTTGACGTACGTCACGCGAATAATCCTGATCGAGAGATTGTTCTGATGTGCAACCAGTCACTGACCTCTTTTATCCCTCTATCGTTTCCAGGTTGGCAGCAGCGCAAGAGGCGGCACAAAGGGATCCTGGATACGCGAGTCAGTATTACGGGAGAAGGTCGAGGTTGGCCGGATTGAGGAGTGGTCTCGGTGACTGGACTAGCTTCGGAGGGGAGGTAACATGACAATTATCAATTATTGCCTTTGTCTCTGTTATCCTTAATATAATTGTTATTGTTCAGATTACATTCTGCAGTCTGACAGTTTTATAATCATCGGAGAATCAATCATTTGTGATTGACTATCTTTGCGATTGTAAAGTTTCTCTTCTGAGCAATTTCTTCACCGCTTGTCATTTGAAAATTTCTCAGAGAATAATTGATTTCGACAATTTTGGTCGAGTTTAAGATTTGAAGCTGCGAACTCGAAAAATATTTCAAAATCTCGAAAATACTATACTAGTGATGCACAAATGTGAATCACTAGAAATGTATCTAAAACGATAGATAGGGGAAAGTGGACATGAAAGTGACATGTTTTGAAAAAGCCATTTCGTATTTCAACTAATTGTATCGTCAAAAATTTTAAAATATTTTCATTTGAAATAGCAATATTAAAACTACGTCGTCCAGTCTTCGTCAAAAGGGCGTTCCCGTAATGCAAAATTATTATTACACAAAGTACGTTTCTTGAGTTCTTAAATTTCCAAGTCTTTTTCATTTATTTGCGATTAGCTTTTAAAAAAAGTATTTTTTATCGAATACTATATACATTAACGTAACTAAAAATGTAATTACGAATTCTTTGTTTATTTTAGTTTATCAGATATTCTGTGATTATATTTTTTACACATAATATCATGAAAGAGCCGGTATTGAGAGCTATGAAAAAACCAGTTCTATTATTGCTTTGCCTGACTCCTTCATTGCATTTCCAGAGATGTTCTTTTCGGTGCAATTGACTTTTTACGTTTTTAGTACAATTCAGGCATTTTTAGTACTTTTTTTTTTAAATATATCATACTGCGTAATGAAGACTGATATCGATGCAAATTGTACTTTGACTGGACTCATACTTCATGTGGCTAAGGGAAATTTTCATTTCTTTTGCAATAAATGTTTTTAATTAGAAATATTATATTTTCTATTTTTCACATATTTATTAATTTCCTAAAAAAATAATATTTGTTAAAAAACAACATTTTGATTTTATTTATATTAAAGATTATATAGTTTAATGGTTTTTATAAAACAAGTAATGGCTTTTTCAAAACCATGTTTTAAAAGAGTTGAATTTCTTGTTTATGAAAAATGGTAATTAAATCTCTATTAATGATTAAATATTATTTTTCTGTTAAATGGATCTTATAGATAAATGAGGACATACTTAAGTAAAGCGATTGTATTTGTTTAACACCGAATTAAATATTTTTTTTATATTTTGAAAAAAAATGGTTCTTTCATGCCTACTCTTCTCTATCAGATAAAGCAATTAAAAAATTTTGGAAAAAGATTAATAGTAACAAGCTACAAAGTTATTTTGTATTGGTGCAATATTTAGTAAATATTAATAAATCACTAGTAAATATTTAGTAAACATAATAGTAATCATCCGTTTAGTAATAATTAGAAAAGACAATATTTATAAATTAGCGTTTAGTTGATTTTGATTATATTAATCGAACATTGATTAAAATTATTTTATTGAAGTTTTAATAACTATTATTTAGACTGATTAATATCATCAAACTTTTTGTAGTGTTTAAATAATATTATATTGTAAGGTGTGGACGGAAAATTCAAATGAACCGCCAATGCCTAGAATAAATCACTTTTTATTTCTTGGCAGCTTCTCTCGCTGTCACAGAATGCCCGCATAAAAAACACGTCTTACTGATGGCGCCTCGAGCGACTAATGATGCACGCGATACATCGGTCAGCAAACCGTACGGTTATTTCTACTCGGGAAGGTTAATCGTGATACGCAACGTAATAACGGATAAGGTGCAGTGAGAAATGACAATGAAATCGAATCGATTCGATGTACATTCCATTATCATTTTTCACTGAGATATCATCAATAAAAGTAACAACAAAAGAATATAGCTTTAATTAAGAAGGGACTGATCTTACAGTTCGGTCATTCTTTTTGTTCGTCCCGAACATAACTTATGGTTATTACAATTTAAATTAAAACAAGATTTGTTTTGATCACACATATACGCATTAACAGTAATACATAGATAGCAGCCGTATCGCATACGATTCAATACAAAATGTACAACAAAGACAATTGACAATCAAATAGTATTGTTGATAAAATTAAAACTTTTATAACATTTGATTTAGATTTTTACAGTAAACAAAAAAAAGATCTTGAAGATTTTTGACTAAACCTTGCGGATATGATAACGCACACTAAAATCTATGCTACATCACATTAAAAAAATTTATGTTTATACCTAGTGGGCAATTTATAGCGCTATCGTAATTGATTTTATTATAAGCACAGAATTTGTTTGATCGCTTCGATTGCCGCATCTCGCACTCACGAGACATTAAGTCATCTGAATCGATTAAAACTTCTTTGGTATCAGGAAAGCCGTTTAGTGAGAATCCGATTTTTTCATACCTCAAAAGTAATTTAGAAGGGGAATCTTTAATAGCGGTATGATAAGTATTGTTAATTACGTATTGAATTTCATAAATTTTATCGGATTAACATTCTTGCTCCTCCGAAACTTTGCGGAATGACAATTTTAAGAAACGGTTAAGGGGATGCTGGAGCGACGGCCGAACTTGATCGAAGTCGATAGTGTAGACTTTTTTTCCAAATTCAATAATAATGACATCTTTCATTTATTTCTTATATTTATTATGTATCGTTGTGTCTCACTCAAACGCATTTATTGCAACGATCTCTTGCACGCTCGAACACCTACTGCTAGATACAATTATTGCTTTGTTTACCATGAGTCTTCGCTCAGCATTCATATATATGTCATTTGCAGATCGATGTAAATCTTTCTTTTTAAGAGTTTAATCTTAGTTTCATAAACTCAGTATTGTTTGTGCACGTAATATGCTTAGTGCTGCACTGTCCATACGAGGAAATATAAAACTTTTGTATCAAGGAAACATCTATGTCAAGTGACAACTCCACGAGTTGTAAAAAATGTAAGTTTTTAACTTTTTTTCGATTTTATTGAATTGTCCGGAAAGTTCGTGTCGATGTTGAAGGAAAATTGAAACGCAGAAAATTTAAATTTTAGTATATATTTATTAAATTATATAAGTTAGTTGGCACGAACTTTCCGGACAACCCAATAGTATAAAGTTTATTGCAGCATCAAATTTTGTGTCTACTTTAATCCTAAAAGGATTTTTGATTTCGTTCAAATTTGAAGATTTATATCGATCTGCAAAGTCCCGGTAATTTGGCCACTTCAGCATCCTCTTAATCTGTTCAACCATTCCATGGTGCAACTATAACTTCCAAACGGTATTTTATGTCACGTTTATGGCAAATATGTTGTAATTGGCAAATTTGCATGAAATAAATGTAATTGCACGATCGGATACAATCTCGAAAGGATTGCCAAACATATCGAAAATCGTAGATAAATATTCAATTTCTCCTGAAGCAGTAGTTTTGATTGGAGACAGGTAAATCGAGTCGAGGTAAAGCATCTATGGCGACTAGAACATGCTTAATCCCATATGAGATTCTACCAGAGGCCCGAAATGATCAACATGCACTATGGTCAATGGAATGGTGAGGGTCTTCGATGCCAATAATTCACCCTCTCGTTGATGTTTCGGTTGACGTTTTGGCTATGAAGTGATACAGTAATCTATATAATCTTGTACTTTTTTATCCAATGATGGAAACCAATAATTATTGGTGATACCCTGCATCGTTTTTCCGACTCCGCAGTGCGCACAACAGTTATGATAAACGCTAAGGATTCTAGCGGTCATGGACTGAGGGACAATAAACTTAAGTGAGTTTTTGTATTTACGATAAACTAAGTCGATTAGAATGAACTTATCATGTTTTTCGAGGGACTCTGTTAGCGCCTGAATAATCGGGTCGGCCAGTTGCTTGTCCTTTTCCAGCGATAGGGCATGACTATGCGTCGACATGAGTCATTTTTTAATCTCTTCGATGAATTCTTCGATGAATAACTAGATTCTGTAACTTTACAACATAAGTATCCTGGCAATGCGTGGGTTGACGTTTGCGTTATTGCATGCATCAACGCGTTGCAATCAGTGACAACAATGAAATCTATTCCATAAAGGTAGATATGAAATCTTTCAATGGCTTTAACGATTGCTAACATTTCGAATTCAAACGAGTGATAGCAGCTCTCCGCTGTGTTAGTTGCTTGGCTGTAATAAGCAACTGGAGTTGCCTCTAAGTCTTATTTTTTTGCTTCTGTAAAAGAATTGCAGCGAGAGGCAATGTGCAACTCGATCTCCAATTTCTGATTGTACAGTCTTAAAACTTTAAAATTAATTGATAAGCGCCGATTTTAACTCCTCGAAAGCGTGTAAACACGTCTCATTAAAATCGTATTAACGTAAACTTACTGGTCAGTACGATGCACATAGCAGTCTGGCCCTTTCCGCAAAATTGGTACGAATCGACGAAAAAAAACTGATGAAAAAAACATAAATCTCTGAAGCTAATGAAGATTCTGAAGGTAAATTTTTTAATCACTTCTACGTGATTAAGATAATCCTCTGGCTCGAGAGTACATATTCCAAATATTCCACTTTAGTTCTCAGAAATTGACATTTTTAAAAATTTAACTCAAATTTATGTTACTTGAATAAAATCAAATCTTGAGTGAGAACCTGCAAATTTTCTTCAACAGAACTGAAGGTATCAAAATATCGTCTATATGAACGAGCATTCTGTCTTCATGAATAAAGGGAGAGGAGAGGTTGCAAAATTTGAATGATGCGTCTTTGGGCTTCCGAATAGCCAAAAGAGAGTTTGCTAAATTCATTTTGGCCATCCGGCACGACAAACGAAATAATTATCGTAAAGTCTGGGTATATATTAATATGGTGAAACCTCTTTAAGGTCTAATAGTGTAAAAATATTTTGTCACTTAAACGAGCCAAGTGATTTTCAATAACTGAG